TTCAGGATGTCATGAGAACCCAACATCGATCTCTCAATTAAAAAGCAAAGCTCCCCTGGGAGCCAAACTTAAAGATAATTGGTTTTCTTGTTTGAACTGTATCTACCAGTCTCTGCTTGCAGAAGGTTGTTGGAGTGTTTATAAGATAAGTACATTGGCAAGCATTATGCTCTTTCTAAACCCAAAGGAGGCACTGCAGAAGCTAAAAATGCTTTGGCCACAACCACCTGAAAACTAAAAGTGCCTTTGGGTGACATACTCGCAGTTTTCCTTTTGGAAACCCTTTGGGCTCCAGGGAAGTTGCAGAGAAAAGAATAATTGTGCAGGTATGAAAGGAAAGGTTGGAAAGCTATGATTCTTAAGGTCCTGCCGGATCCTTTTAAAGGATATATAATACCGTGTCTGTCATGCTGTTGCTGGATCTACTCCTGGTCAAACATCACAGTAGTGGTACAGCAAACCAGCTATCTGTCTTAGCAACCCATTTTGATCTCTGCTAAGTATTTTGGGCTCCACATATATAGATGGACCAAGAAGACAGGCTCTGAGGAAGCAATGTGAACATCTCCACCATGGGCTCATTAAGTCTCCAAACTCAAGTGGAAGGAAAATGATGAGGTAATTATCTTCATAATCACTACCCACACCCATCTTTTCCCCCTTCCTCTCTTCTGAAGGATGACCTTTCTTTTCTGCCTGAAGATAATGCCTCCACTTGTGTATGTCCTTACCCCATCTCCTCCAACCTCCTTGGAGATACTCCTTGCTCCATCACTCACCCCCTGGCATGCCTTTCTTATTTTCTTCTCTCTGGACCTGGACTCATTGCCTAGAATCTTAAGTCAAGTTTCTCCTCTGAGAAGCGAAACTTGGGTAAAATACCTTTCCTCTGTCCTGTCTTCTACCCCTAGCTTTTTGGCTCTCTCTCTCCCCCGCCATACATCACCAACAATCGTCTTGAAATTATAACCCACATTTGTTGTTTTTATTTTCACCTCTCTGCTTCACTGTAGTCAGAATTCTTGCCTTAACACTCTGATATTCATGGCACCTTCTTTACTAAAAATTCTGATGGCTCCACTTCTCCCCAAAATGTGTGTTCCTGCCCTTTCTGTCCTCAGCTCCCTACTCTTTTTGTCCCAACACTCTAAACCAATGGCTGAGATGGTCCTGAAGTTACTGGATCTTATGTATGCTATTCCCTTGCCTGGAATATTATCTCTCTTCTTCTCCTAAGAAGGCACTACTTTTCCTGGACACCGACCGTAGCTCTGAAAGCTTTTACTTCATTCTGCCCTCCTCCCAAACCCCCCTTTTTTCCTAAAGGAGGTTTTTTTGTTATATCTCCATCATGGAAATACACCTCAATTTCTTACATTTGTTGCTCAGCTCAGATGATGGTAATCTCCATATGGTTCCTATTATCCAGTTACCTGACAAAAACTCCCAGCTCACAATATAATTAGCACCTTGTAAATTCAAATTTACATTAACATGCATTATATTAACTTTTTTACCTTCAGGAGAAAGTGTTATAATTGAAATACATATAAAATGTGCTGGTGTAATAATCATCATTATCAATTTTATCATCTCTAAATCCAATAAGACAAATCAAAGTCCTACTCCCAAATACCTCATAAGATAATTTGGGGGATTAAAAATAATAATGGATCTGAAAGTTCTTTGAAAAGTATTATGCTCCAGATATGTAAATTACTAAATGGAATATTATACATTAAGATCCTTGTTCAGGGCACTAAAGGGGGAGATTAGAGTGAGCAAAAAATATAAGAGCATGTTAAAATGGAAGGAACAAGAACTGGAAAATGAGACCTGGATGTCAGTTCCTGCTCTGATACTGACTGAACCTCAGATCCTAAAACAAAACGAAACAAAACAACATTTTACCTGTCTGATCTTCTTTTTCAGCTGTAATATTAAAGGGTTGATAAAATGATATTTTTAAAGTCCCTTCCATCTTCAACACCCCATTACTTGATAAGCAATGAAAAGAAGTGGGAAAGATCTAATATTTATCACGAAGTGTTTCATTATGATTTTTTCATGTCTTTTTTTTCTTTTCAGCACGTTTGAGTTCCTTGTAAATCCAAGATGTTAGGCCTTTGTCAGACATGGAGTTGGCAAATACTTTTTCCCAGTCTGTGGATTTTTTTGCAAATACCTCCCAATTCTCTTGCCCTTTTATGCTTCCACTGTTTTAACTTGGAAAACCCTAAACATGATTTAAACCAACTATCTGACTACTCCACTCTGGCAGCTCAACATTACCAAAGAAGATAAGACAAGAAAGCAATCTGATTTCACCTTCTTAAATTCACGATTTCAATGATCAAATTGCCACTCAATACTGTCTGATAATCATATTGTTAGTTCTAGTAGGATAGCTTTCTCACTTCCAGATTTGAAAATTTTACAGTTTTTCCTCTGCCCTCAAGCCTCCCGCATGTTCTCCTCAATACTCACTTTCACGATAACTTCTTCTCATACTTCATTGAGAAAACAGAAACCATAGACGCAAACTCAGTCATCTTCCTAAGGTTAAATGTGGCCAACTTAAATACAACTTCATCTATTTTTTTCTGGTCTTCCTCCTGTTAAAAAGATGAAGTATTCCTGCCTTTACCAAAAGTTAACTCCTCCACTTGTGCTATCTCATCCCTTCTCACTTTCTAAAAGACTTCGCTACCCAAATCCACTCTTTATTTACATATGTATCATCAATATTCCCTCTATGCTGGATCTTCTCATCAGCATACATAAGGTAGGGTTAATGCTCATCTCTCCAGAGTTACCGTCTAATTTGTCTGCTCACCTTCAGTCTGCATTACCCCACTGTATTTATTATTCATGCAACCAGATATAAGAATCTATTTTCTGTCTTCATTTTAGTCTCACAACAGCTTCTAACAAAATCAACAATTCTCTTAAAACACAGATTCTATTATTTTATTTCCTCCTGGTTTTCATCCTACCTCACTGACTCCTCTTTTCAGTCTGCTTTCCTGGCTTCTCTTATTCTATCAGACCCAAGAGAAAGAGAGTCCTAAAGCTCAGTAGGGCATTCTTCTTTACCTATAATCTCTTCATTCCCATGGCTTTGGATGTTTCCTATGTTTGGAAAACTTCTAAATTTATACCTTAACCCAGTTCTCTTTTTCTGGACTACATATTCTCAAATTAGGCTGCCAATTTCTTCTCCTTATCCAAAATTCTCATGTGCATTCTAAACTTAAGACAACTTGAACTTACATCTCCCCTAAACTTTCTGTCCACATAATCTTTACCATAGAAGTAAATGTTACCAGTTACTCAACTGGAAACTCATGAGTCTTCGCTGATCGTTCATTTTTCATTACTCTTCATATATAATATGTCAGTAAGTCCTGACATTTCTACCTCCAAAATGTATCTTGAGCCTGCCTTCTCTTTATCTTGTCTGCAACCACCTTATTCAGGTTTACTATTATCTCTCACCTGGTTCACTGAAATAGTCTCTTAATTGTCTCATTTTGTCTATGAAGTTCTCCCTCTAATCAATTTAATACATAGCAGCAAAAATGATTTTAAGCTGTAAATTTGATCACTGCTGCTTAACACCCTCCAGGGGATTCCTATAGTACTTAAAAATCTAAATTCTATAACATGGGCTTACAAGGACCTGAATGATCTGGCCCTTTCTTGTATTCATTCATTCATTCATTCATTCATTCATTCATTCATTCATTCTCTCTCTCTCTCTCTCTTTTCTCTCTCTCTCTCTGTCTCCATCTCCATCTCCATCTCCATCGAGCTCTCTATCTCACCCCCCTATCCCTCTTTCTCTGTCATATTTTGGTCTTTTTTTTTCTCATAGTTTTTATAACAGTCAATCTTTCTGCCTGTTCCCTTGGGCTAGAATGATCTCTCTCATCCCACTCCTAACTCTTGCATTATTATCTCCTCATTTTTTTAGGTCTCAATTTTTTTAGTCTTTTCTTCACCATCTCAACCAAAATATCATGCTCCCAAATGCACGTACGTGCACACACACACCACACACACACACACACACACACACACACACACACACACACAGAGCATATTTTCTATTTGGGCTCCTTGTTTGTTACATTCACAGTAAATAACTCAAAATTCTTTACAGGTCTATTTCTTTGTTTTCAGTCCTCCACTCCCACTTGAATGTTAACTCCATAAAACATAGAGAGTATTCCTGACTTGTTAAAAATATATTGACATTTCTATTTTTTTATAAAACATATTACACATAATTAAAATTCTATCCTATAGATGAGGAAATTGATTGTTAAAGAAATGATGTGGCTTGCTCCAGAGCACACAGTCAGTAAGTGGCAAAGCTAAGATTTGAATTCAGGTATGTCTTCTTCCATTATATCATACATTTGCTCCACTATCAATAGCTTATCCTTGCTCTACTCTACCTTCTCTATTAAGGTTTAAGGAACTTGCTCTCAAATAAGTTTTTAAAATTAGACATCCTTTGTTATGATGAAATATAATGCATATAATGCAATTGAGATGAAATTTCTAAAACAGGAAACAGATTTGATCAGAGTTCTTATGAAATTTATACATGGGTGATTAGGAATATTTATTACTGATGATAACACCAGTAGCCACATTCGAAGCAACCAGAGTAAAATGTCCAACTATTGAACATTTCTTCTCTATTTTTCAAAATGAATATTGGAAAAATGTGCACATTTATGTCTCATTGTCACAGCTTTAAGAGTCTATACATTCTAAACATGACGGGATAATTGAAGTTATGGATTAACGTTTCAAATGACCCCGGGGGGACTGTGGTCAAATTTATTAATTAAGTTTAAGAATTCTGAACTTCCAGAAAGAAGCCAATTATGTTTAGTACGTATGAAACCTCTAAGCAGTTTGATTTTTTTTTCTAAAAATAGTATTAGATGAATGGTTATTTTTCAATTTTTTTTTAGATCCAAATTATGGCTGGAAATGAAGAAGGAAATACAACTCAAATTTCAGAAATTATCCTTTTGGGTTTTGGAGATCTCCATGGCCTTCAGTTTCTTCTTTTCTGGATATTTCTGGTCATCTATGTGATGACTCTCACGGGCAACATTGTGATCCTAATTGTTGTGTCAGCTGATCATTCCCTTCACACACCCATGTATTTTTTTCTTGGTCACTTCTCCCTCCTAGAGATTGGCTACACCAGTACCATTGAACCCATGTTGCTGAGAACATTGCTATCAGCTCATGTGACTATTTCCTTCCCAGCCTGTGCTTGTCAGTTTTACTTTTTTGCTTTCCAGGTAGCTACAGAATGCTTCTTCCTGGCTGTAATGTCTTATGATCGTTACATAGCCATCTGTAACCCACTGCACTACGACAGCATCATGGATCACTGGGGTTGCTTACAGCTTGCTGGTGCCTCGTGGATGGCTGGTTTTCTGGCCCCCATCCTCCTCATGGTTTTTATTTTTCGCTTAACATTCTGTTCAGTTAACGTGATTGATCACTTCTTCTGTGATTTGAAGCCCATCATGAAACTGACTTGCACTAACACTCAAGCAGTTGAGATGACCTCTTTTATATGCACCTCTTTGTTTGCCCTCGGTCCCTTCTTGCTGACCCTGGCTTCTTATACTTGCATCGTCACCACCATTCTGAGAGCTCCTTCTGCCACAGGGAAGCAGCGGGCCTTCTCCACCTGTTCCTCCCACCTGACAGTGGTCAGTCTCTATTATGGAACACTAGGCATTGTCTATGGCTTCCCATCAAGGCCTCAGTATAAAGACTTATTAAAATTGCTTTCCCTTCTGTATACAGTGCTTACCCCTGCCCTCAACCCTATTATTTACACTCTAAGGAATAAGGATGTGAAGGTAGCTCTGAGAAAATTGGTTAAGTGAGGGATGCAGAAAGTTTGAACTTTTTAGTGGCTATTGCACCTTCTGAAAACCCAAAGTATAAATCTTTCTACAGTGTCAAGAAAAGTTACTGTAAAATTGATGAGTTTTCCTTTGTTCCATCAACTTTCTCCACATTAATGAACCAAAAGCATGTTAAGCTTTCATATTCCTGTAAATGTTGTTAAACATTTTGTAGGTGTCAGGCACTATGCTAAGTCCTTTGCATGGATTATTGTGCTGAATCCTCACAACAATACTGTGAGGTAGCTACTGTTATTATTCTCATTTTACTGATATCACAACTGACACTCAAAGATTAATTCACTTACTCAAGGTGATCCACTTAGACAGTAGCAAAATCAGAATTTAAATTTGATCCTAAGACTTGCCTATTGCCAAATCCACAGTCTTTCCATTAACTGAAGAGAACCCAGAATCTTGGAGTTCCCAAACTGGCTTTCTTGGGCCATGAAAGACATGACTGTACTTTCTTATAGCATTATAATTGTTCAAGGTCACCTTATGAGTGAGAACATAGGGAACTCAGTTCTTTGTTTCTGTGATAAATCACTGAGTATGATCGACTCCAAATCCATCCAATTTCTTGCAAAGTCCATATATTTGTCCTTCTTTATGGCTGCATAATATTCCATTGTGTATATGTACCACATTTTTTTAAATCTAGTCCAGCATTGATGGGCAACACTGTTGGTTCCATGTTTTTGCTATTGTGAATAGAATTGCAACAAACATACATGTGCATATACTGCTATAAGAAAGTAATTGGCAGTAGCAGACAACTGTCAGGGGAAGAGGGGGTGGGACTGGCAGTTGGGGAAAACTGCTAGGGGAGGGAGGGGTATAACTCATCAGCAAGGGTACCTGCATGATCAATGTTTGTATAGCTAAACCTGAATTGTACCCTACATCTTTATAATAAATAAATAAATTTTTTAAAAAAGAAATACATTACTGTAGATGACTTACCTTAGGGGAAAATGAGTTAACTTTGAGGTGTGAAGAAAGGAAAAAGTAATGCAATGGATCTGAACCCCATTCTCTCTCCTTTCCCTACCTAAAGTACTGATTAAAAAGCATAGGATAAAATTGACCCGGGGTGAAAAATAGTTTTAGTGTTTTTTTTTTTTTCAGAACTATTTGCAAGAATAAAATATTAAAAGCAACCTTACTGGTTCAATAAATTAAAGTGCACCCACACAATGGAATATAGCACACTAATAAAAAAGCAAAAGTAAAATACAATAACAAAAGAACAAATATGCTCTGCATGTGCTAATGTGGAAAGATCTATTGTAAGTGCAAAAAACAAGGTGTAGCACAATGTGCATAGTATGGCATCATGTCTCCAAATAAATGGTAAAAGAAAAATATTTATACTTAGTTGTAGATTCATAGACTGTTCTAGAAAGATACATATAAATTTGGTAATATTGGTTACCTCTTGGTAGAGAAACTAGACAGAGGTGTGGTGTGGCTTTTGAGGTGGGAGTTAGGTAAATAAATTATCTATTGAAAAATAATAATGGTTTAACAAATTAATGCAAATTATACAAAACATAGAAATGTTAAACAGTCCATATTAATAGACCAGATTGGAAACACTTCTAGACATTTAGAGGCTTCTTTTTTCTCACATGCAAGTTATAAACTCACTGAAGACAGGGACTTTGTCATTTACTTCTGCTATAGTGCTCTAAACGGTTTTTAAAATTGTACAGCATAGTTATGACAACACTTGTGCTATTATCCAAGAGAGTAGGTCAGCATCCATTGAACAAATACTTCCCAACAACTTGGTGTGTCCCCATTTTAAAAATTGAAACCCAAGGGGGAAAAGTGTCAGCTGTACCTCTAATGTTCTCAGTCTTCCATGGTAGTGCAGTCTTGAAAGCTAGCAAGGGCCTGGCATGAAGTGAGAATGGTTTTCTGGACTCTTCCTTACAATATCTCTAGAACAATCTTCCTATAATGAAAACATGACCACATCCCTCTGGTGTTTAATCAACATCTACCACAAGGACCCACAATTAAAAACAGAATAAAAGTCTCATGTTTTTTGTGAGATTAACCTCATGTTTCATCCTTCAACTATCAAACATGAAGTGTCACAAACTCTGTGAAGCACTCCCTGATCCTTTAACACCCCCATAGTTAGGATCTATTTTTTTCCTATGCTACTAAAGCACTTTCCACAGATCTCCATTCTAGCATTGATTATATTGTGCAGTAATTGTCTGCCTCTACACCTAATAATAAATTCATCCTGCTGTTTATCTTACTGGGAAGTTGTTCACCTGCCTAAAGTAGAGGCTGAACTACATAATGTCTTAAGGATAGCTCTAGAAGCCTGAGATTTGTCTTAGGGCAAATTCGACAGTAGAATTTGTGGCGAGGGGTGGAGAATCTTGATCAGTTCCCCTTAGTGTCAGGGACCAGCATTGTCTTGGAATAGGAACCTAAATTATTCATTCATATGTTTGATATATTGGTTAAATATACATTTAACGAAAAAATGTTAAATACCAACTTAAGTATAAACACCTACTGTGTACATAGTACTCTTTTGGACACAAGAAGGGTAAAATTGATGTAAATTGACATTGAAAACTCCTGTCTAGTCAATGGAACATCTACATAGTCTCAGACATACAGCCTGCACCCAGCAAATATTTTGTCACCTAAACTAAGTCAAGGGAATATTGAGTGGCCTGGGAATACAACTGGCTTCTGTCAAGAAGACCATCCATCTCTAATACTCTAATACTGGAGCTATAGGTCTTGGAGATACGTGGGCTGTATGATGCATTGGGGGAGGGGGAAGGTGTGTGCTGAAGAAGGGGGAGGGCTTTCTCCTTCTAGAAAATGTAAGAATCATTGCTTCATTCACAACACCATCTGCCAGCTGCCAATGAGAAAGCAACACATCCATGGAGAGCAGCAATTAGAACTAATTGGGTTTCTTCTTTTTAATACCTTAGACAAAGCCCCATTGCGATCAGGTAAGGAGATCTATTAAAGGCAAGCTGTTCTCTGCATATCACTTAATTCAAAGTATTTAAGGAGACTGATTACATGCCAGACTCTCCAAGGATAGCTGAAACGCAAAGTGGTGGTCTGTGTATGTTTTAAGGACTTGATTCTTAAACAAGAATGAAAATAAAATGTCCTTTGAGAAAAACCTAAATGAGTGTATGAAAGCAATATCCTGAGAAGGAGTAGATACATTTATAGAAGCCACAGTTCAATTTGGCATATGTGAAATCAGGCAGCTGCATTGAGAAATTCAGGTAAATATTCACATTTAGGGGCACTGCATATGCAAAATTTCCAGGGGCCTATTTGTATCTTTTGCTGGAAAAATTACTGTATTCAATTGTGCTTAAAATAATTGGCTCGCCTCTCAGACAGACTAGTTTGAGTCCTGGTGCTGTGACCTTGGGCGAGTAACTTAGCCTCTTTGATCTTCAAACCTCTCATGGGTAAAATGAAAACACTAGCACTACCTTACCTCACAAGGCTGTTATGGAGATTAAAAGAGATAATGCATGTTAAACTTTTAGCACATGAGAAGTATCTGATACATGTTAATTATTATTTTAGTGGTTATCATCATCATCATCATCATCAGATGTCACTGTATCTTTTCCTTGCTTTGATATAGTAAAGAAGTATGAGCTAGAGAAGTGTCTGGATAACTGTAAAGTGATCAAACAACTGAAAGCAGAGTTTAGAAAAATGGAAGCAAGGCCGGGCACGATGGCTCAGCCTGTAATCCCAGCACTTTGGGAGGCCAAGGTGAGAGGATTGTCTGAGCCCCAAGATTCGAGACCAGCCTGGACAACTTAGTGAGACCATATTTTTACAATAAATCACAAAAACTAGCCAGGCGTGGTGGTGTGCATCTGTAGTTCCAGCTACTTGGAAGGCTGAGATGGAAGGATCGCCTGAGTCCAGCAGATCGAGGCTGCAGTGGCCGGGATTGTGCCACTGCACTCCAGCCTGGGTTACAAGAGTGAGACTCCAACTCAAAAAGAAAGAAAGAAAGAAAGAAAGAAAGAAAGAAAGAAAGAAAGAAAGAAAGAGAGAAAGAAAGAAAGAAAAATGGAAGCCAAGTTCCTGAAGCTTCTCAGTTTTAACAGGGTCCCAGTTTACAGTCATCTTTAACAAGCAAGACAAGCTAGGCACCAAGGTATTTCTTATGTTAATTGACAGAACAGCTTTGTGGAAATTTTGGACCCTGCTGTCCAACACCTGGCTTTTAATGCCAGCTTAAACAATATGACCACACAGGATCCACCTTTCTCTTTCTACAAGAGCCATGCTTCCTTCTGTCTTAATTAATTCCCATGTTTTTCTTACTAAAATCCTTCTAACAACAAGTAATGTGAAGGTAAATAAGGGGGGTATTTGACAGAAGTAGAAAGAAGGCTAAGAGGGAAGGGACCTATGGAACTGCTGAGTTTGGCTTTTATATACCCCTCCAGCTTCATCATGTACCATTATTCTCTCTACGTTTTCTGGCCATATTGGGATCTTAATTTATTTCTTTGACTCTGTACGTTCTTTTTTGCCTTAGAATGCGTGCATGTGCTATTATTCCCTCTGCTGAGAATTTTCTTCCCCCAAAATTGATGTAGTTGGCTTCTTCTTAGCCTTTTGCTCTCTCCTTAAATTTGACATCAGATAGACATTTTCTGGCCACTTCATTTAAATTTAATTCCCTGTCAATACCATCACCCCTAGCTTGTTAGACTTTGTGTCAATACCTCGTCATTCTTCTTAAAACCTAGCAAAGTGGTAATTATGTAATTATTTATGTTTTTCATGTTTCTCTCCCAGAACTTCTGTGCTGTCCCATAGTAAGTACTCAATTTTTATTTGATAAATAAATGAACAAATGTCTTTGACATTCTCATCCCCTGGTTAGTCAATGGGTGGATATTAACAAACTCACAAAGTGGTGTGGTTTGATAGATGGA